CAGTTTCATCAACCCAAATTTTTAGTCTTAAGCAGAACTGTTGTAAACGATGAAAGCAGAATGTGATGTTTAAAACCGGCAGCAATTTAGAAATAGCACAACTTAATTGCCAAGTTAAAAGTAAGTGTTCAAACAACCAGCTGTCCCATGCGGGGATTGAACCTGCAACCTTGGTGTTTGTCATCATCATGACCTAACCAACTGAGCTATCCAGATGAAGTCTGAGAATCAATGCTTCTCAAAATACCAAGATCTGTCGTGAGGGAGAGCACTCCAGTACAAGCTCATTAGTGCACCCTCCTAGTTTTGTGGGTTTTATTATTATTATTATTTGTTGAATTTCTATACTGCCCTATTCCTGGAGGTATAGAAAGGTACATAGTTTGCTGCTGATTTGACAGGGTGTGGTGCTCCCTGAACTGCTCTTGAAAGGTATTGTACAGGTGCTGGTGACGAGGACCAGCAGTTCCTTTCTGTTGTTAAGAGAGAAGAAGCAGGGATGTACCTGGGCCTTTGCTCTTGCAACAAACACGATCTAGTTTCATTCCTGCCGCAGGATATTCCTGCAGAATCTTCTGGCATAGTTGTAGTTGCCTCAACGAGTGTAAATTGCCATCAACAGGTCTTTCCATTTGGACACATTGTTGGTTTTTGTTAGCCTGACATAAACCTCTTCCTTGCAGCTTATTGATTTGCAAGTTTGAGCTTGGATTTAGATGTTGCCTTGATTTATTCTGAGATGTTATTAGAACCAGGTTCCCCCTCCCTCCCCCCCCAACACACATCTTGGGATAGCTTTGATTTATGAGACTGATATTTTGGGCTTGTGTGCACTCCCAGCAAACAGGAGAAGGTTCAAATAATTCAGCTAGTCTTCCATTGATTATTTTCTGCAAAATGTATTTCCAGAATAATAATACAAAAGTATAATATTCCCAGTCTTCACCCTATAAAATTCATTTTTCATTTCTAACTACTAATTTTCGCTTAATTTCTCTTAAAGTCTGCTGGTTTAAAATTTCAGGCTGTCATAAAGAGAAAAATAATACGATAGCAATACTCTTTCTTTTCCAGTGGTTGCTTCCCAGATTGATTAAAGCTGTTCCTTTTCATGGAGTAATACCTGAGCAGCTAATAATTTCAAAGAATTATAGTTTACATAAGCCATATTTCCATATATAATTTGTGACCACCAGCATCCAACTAAGGCACATTGTACATAAAACAGCTACTGCTAAAGCTATAGAACCACAGTAACCTGACAACTTACATGGGGTTACATTCTGGGGATGGTGCCTAAAGCTAAAATCCCGTATAGCCAAAACACATTGGGTGCAGTGGTGGGTCATGGGATATGGGTGGCGCTGCGGTCTAAACCATTGAGCCTCTTGGGCTTGCCAATCAGAAGGTCAGCGGTTCAAATCCCCGCAACGGGGTGAGCTCCGGTTGCTCTGTCCCCCAAACTTGTCACCCCCTTTTAAATTTATATTTTACCAAGTACATAAACCTGAATGCGCACAGGTTAAATGTGCAGAAGTTGTGGGCATATGGTATTAGTTCTGAGAGTTGAGTGATGGCAGATTAAAAGAAAAAGGCACAACTTTAAGTTTCACCTAGTTGTCATCTTGCTTAAAAATATACCGAGTGTTTCCTGAAATGGCTTTTCAAGATTCACCTCTTCTATGAGACTTTGGCCAGAGGTGGGTTTAGGGGAGCACAACTGGTTCAGTCGCTCTGGGCACAGGACCTTGGGAAGAAGAAGAAGAGTTTGGATTTGATATTCCGCTTTATCACTACCCAAGGAGTCTCAAAGTGGCTAACAATCTCCTTTCCCTTCCTCCCCCACAACAAACACTCTGTGAGGTGAGTGAGGCTGAGAGACTTCAAAGAAGTGTGACTAGCCCAAGGTCACCCAGCAGCTGCATGTGGAGGAGCGGGGAAGCGAACCCGGTTCCCCAGATTACGAGTCTACCGCTCTTAACCACTACACCACACTGGGAGAGATGCAGCTATGATTTAGAATGGAGTGTGAGAGGCAGGGGGTGCCGGATTTTGGCATCTCACAGGGTGCCACTGAAATTTCCGACCCCAAGATCCACCACTGCTTTGGCTTGACCCTCTACAGAATAATCCTATGCAGATATACTCAATATGTAAGTCTCCTTTAGCTCAGTGGGGGACTGACTCTGATACAGTTGTAATTGGCAAGGCAGCAGCTCTTACCTGACCTTTCGTCACAGGCACTGCTAGGGCTTAGTGGGAGAAGGAGGGGCAAGGTGGAGACAAGGTCAGCGTGGTGCAAATGCACTAGCAGGAGTGCAGGATTGCACTCCTCCTCCTCACCAACTCCTACTGCACTGAGGTAAACATGCATAGAACTGCATAGAACAGAACCTGAGTGTATATATAGCTTCATTTGTACATACTTAGCCCTGCTTTTCATTTCATTTCCTCTTTTATCTACTTCTCTGTGGCGGTTTAGATTGTAAGCTTCTCAGGACAGGGACTTGTCTTCTGTTGTTGTTTTTCTCCTTTGAACAAGTGCGCCATCACCAGGATGCAGATGCTGATTGTTGTTAAGGTAAAGGAAAAGGTACCCCTGCCCGTTCGGGCCAGTCTTGCCAGACTCTAGGGTTGTGCGCTCATCTCACTCTATAGGCCGGGAGCCAGCGCTGTCCGCAGACACTTCCGGGTCACGTGGCCAGCGTGACAAGCTGCATCTGGCGAGCCAGCGCAGCACACGGAACGCCGTTTACCTTCCCGCTGTTAAGCGGTCCCTATTTATCTACTTGCACCCGAGGTGCTTTCGAACTGCTAGGTTGGCAGGCGCTGGGACCGAACAACGGGAGCGCACCCCACCGCGGGGATTCGAACCGCCGACCATGCGATCGGCAAGTCCTAGGTGCTGAGGTTTTACCCACAGCACCACATCCACAAAGTACTGTTTCAGAAATGGACAACTATGACACTTGCGTTACCAGCGATTGGCAAACATGGGGCAAGCCTGTCACCATCCAATTGAGCTAGTGTTTATCAAACCTGGGTCTCTAGTTGTTGTTGGAATACAACTCCCATCATCCCTAGCAGGACCAGTGGTCAGGAATGGTGGGAGTTGTAGTCCAACAACAGCTGGAGACCCAGGTTTTAGGAAGATGGATAAGTATTCTTTGCTTCTAAGCATGGTATTTTGGACTGAGGTGGGCAGACCTGAAGATTTTGCTGGACTGGGAACTTCCATCATCCTTGACCATTCACCACTCAGCCTATTTTATTTCTGTGGATTTTCTGTTAGCTGGATTATGCTTTATATTCTATTTCTGAACACTGCTCAAGTATATTTTCTGAATGTACAGCAGCTTATAAATCATGATACAAGATATTATCTTACTTAAGGTAAAGGTACCCCTGACTGGGACGCGGGTGGCGCTGTGGGTAAAACCTCAGTGCCTAGGACTTGCTGATCGTAAGGTCGGCGGTTCGAATCCCCGTGGCGGGGTGAGCTCCCGTCGTTCGGTCCCAGCTCCTGCCCACCTAGCAGTTCGAAAGCACCCCTAAGTGCAAGTAGATAAATAGGTACCGCTTTATAGCGGGAAGGTAAACGGCGTTTCCGTTTGCGGCTCTGGCTTGCCAGAGCAGCGATGTCACGCTGGCCACGTGACCCGGAAGTGTCTCCGGACAGCGCTGGCCCCCGGCCTCTTGAGTGAGATGGGCGCACAACCCTAGAGTCTGGCAAGACTGGCCCGTACGGGCAGGGGTACCTTTACCTTTACCTTTATAGTGGGAAGGTAAACGGCGTTTCTGTGTGCGGCACTGGTGCTGGCTCGCCAGTTGCAACTTCGTCACGCTGGCCACGTGACCTGGAAGTGTCTTCGGACGGCGCCGGCTCCCGGCCTCTTGAGCGAGATGAGCACGCAACCCTAGAGTAGGTCATGACTGGCTGTACGGGCAGGGGTACCTTTACCTTTACCTTACCCCTGACTGTTAGGTTCAGTCGCAGACGACTCTGGGGTTGCAACACTCATCTTACTCTATAGGCCGAGGGAGCCAGCATTTTGTCCGCAGACAGCTTCCAGGTCATGTGGCCAGCATGACTAAGTCGCTTCTGGCGAAGCCAGAGCAGTGCACGGAAACACCATTTACCTTCCCGCCAGAGCAGTACCTATTTATCTATTTGCATTTTGACGTGCTTTCGAACTGCTAGGTGGGCAGGAGCTGGGACCTGACAACGGGAGCTCACCCTGTTGCAGGGATTCGAACCGCCGACCTTCTGATCAGCAAGCCCTAGGCTCTGTGGTTTAGACTACAGTGCCACCTGTATCCTAATAACTTACTTAAGATGGCCAAAAGGAGAAGGAGGAAGAAAAGCTGGCATAAAGGAGTGGTCTATCATTCTCCAAAGCATAACAGTGTTGAATGCACTACTGTGCTAGACATAGGTGCCAATTTCCTGGGACCCCTGGATGCGCGATCACCCACAAAATTCCCCCCTGAAGGGGCTGGGCACCCACAAATTTCGGAGCCAGGGCCATGCATGTTGCATGGCACCCACGGCCCCAGGCACCCACGATTGTGGTACTCATGGTGCTAGAGGTGGACATACATTAATAAGAGAGTGTCTTACATTCACAAGTATCCTACGTTGAGTCTTGTTTGAATGAGTTTCTGTATTACTTACTGGTATTTTATAAAAGTATTTCTATAGCACTTTTCACATGGGGAGGGGGTACCAAAGTTGTGTTTCCACATGGATAAATCAATTCAATTAGATGAATCAAATATACAGGGGGAAATTCTCATAATGAGCACAGTATGAAAAAGTACCTAGATGTACAATTTCAACATGTGCCTAGTGGCAGAGTATCATCAGCCATCTAAGCGTTTGAACAAGGGCTCGTGATTTAGTTGTTCCTAAGCCACAACACTGGTACAAAGGTAGCTGCAGCTTCGTTTGTGTAAACCAGAACTTTATATAATGCTTTCTGTACTTCTTCTTTTCAAAGGATCATCTGTTTTATCTAGAAGCACACAGACTGGAGAGGGGACGTGGACGGTGCCCATTTGACCCCAATTCCTCCTTCATCTCCACTTTATTTGGTAATGGCTTGTTGTATGTTATAAAATGTCATTCTGAGTTTTCTTCCCCAACTCTCTTAAGGTGTTGTCACTATTCTTTTACATGCCTTTGATGTGTCTGTTCTACCTGTGCCTACGTTTATGTTGCGTTTAATTCTCTTTGTTTCACTAGATCAACCATATAGCCAATGTTCTTCTGTTTTCTTTTGCCAGTTTGATAGGTAGACATGCAATGGTTGCATAATATTAGGGAACTTTTCAGGCACAGTAATTTAACTTCAAAGCAATACTGCCCACTGAGTTCTGATTCACTGTATATTAGATTCAAATAAATAAATAAATAATGCCCTCCATATCTGCCATCACAGATCAGGACTGCAATCTGATCTGCTCCAGCCATCACGGCCAACGGCCCAGGATTATGGCAGCTGTAGTGCTAAACACCTGGACGAAATCTGGTAGGAAAGTTTTGTACAGATGTTGAATTTGAGTAGGGACATAGATCCGCAATAAGCCTGTTGACCCTGGGCCTGATTCCAGAGATCATCTTTCAGGTCAGTAGCCCATGCCTGAATTTTCAGCGCACTACCATCTCTCTCAGTGAAATACTGATGGTTCATGATGGCAGTTTTGCCTTTGTGAATTACCTGTTGGGAAATGATGGGATAGATTTGCTGATGATCACTGTCCAAGTGCAATTCAGGCACCCCAGGCGCTGCCAAACTTTATTGTTCGGTTGTTCAGTTTTCCTGCTGTATATATCTATGCAGTGTACAAAATACAAACTTTAATACCAATACAAAAACAAACAAACAAATCAACACAGCATAACAAAACAGCATGTTCACAGAAAGTCACAGCTATATAATATGAGTGGGTCATCTCCAAGTGAAGGCTTTCTGGAGGAACCAAGTTTCAAGCTGGTGTCCTAAAAGATATGACAGGCAGTGCCAGTTTAATCTCAGCGGGCAAAGAGCTCCATAACTGTTTGGGCACATGGACTAGATACCAAAAAGTGATTTAAGAACAGAAGCCTATTCCTATCTGGATTGGGTTAAACGTAGGCAGGACTATAGCTTTACCCTCTTGGCACACCTTCCCCCCAAAATGATGTGATAACATGTTGGCATTTTAAAATATCACATGCAGTTGTTATGTTCTTAAAATCCTGTTTGTTTATCATGACTTCAACAGAGATTGATACATGGCAGAGGACAATCCCCGATACTTCATTCTTGGTGATTTTCAGTTCATTAGTTAAAAATACTAGGGACAATCTAGCCAAAACTAAGCATGCCTAAGACCCGAGGAAGCTGCTTACCTTTTCTGTTGAAATAGACAAGATTTCAGGGTTGCGCTGTTACCTGGGAGTAAACCCCATTCGGTTTACAGTAGTGAGATTTCCTTTTGAACACACACGTTTTTGCACTGTGTATTCACACAGATTGCACTGTGATTAATTTGCACTGTGCTTGCAAAGTGATTAATTTGGATTGGATTTCAGTTCCTCCTTTTTTCCATTGTTTAGGTTTTTTTTTCTTAAATTACCTTCAAAACTTACTTTCTCTTGACCTGGTACTAAGGAAAGAGGCAGCAAGGAACAATTTCATTTCTGAATAAACTCAGAGTAAGTTGTAAATTACAATCAGGAAACAGAACAGACCTTCAACCGCAGATAATGCTACATAAAAATGTTAAATGGTTAGATAAATTCCATAAAGAATTTTTGGACCTAAGTACCCAAAGCAAATGAATTCTCCTGTCTGTTTCCAATAAAGCAAAGCTCTACTTGGTAATAGATCTCATTGGCAGGTTGACAGAGACCACAGAAGTTCTTGAAAGGATAATTTTCTTCAGGCGCGTGGCTTTTGATATGTAGCACACAGTAGTAGCAGCCCTGTTATCTGCGTCTTTTCTAGCCCAGATCTTTTCTGCTGCTGAGACTGAGTTGTGACTTATCCCCATGACTGGGTAGCAGTGCAAATGCTTTTTTATGCAGAAGTGCCCAGATCAACCCCTGACAGTTCCAGCTAAAGGATCTCAAGTAGCAGCAGAAGGAAATATTGGTGTTGGATAATGGTCCATGCTTGAGTGGAGGAGACAGAGCCAGCACATGTCACACGCTGCCGGTGAAGCAGCCCTGAGCATGACCTTGATGCTGAAGCTTCTCATTCTGCTCGAACTTGCGTGTTGAGACCCCGCAGCCACCCCCTCGTTGGAAATAACTCACACAAGGACACAGATATTAGGTTTATGTTATTGGGCAAATTTTGGCCACAACTTTATTGAAATTATAGAATGTGAGCAGTATTGGCTTAGGCATTGATTGGACCTGACTATATCTGACTCCTGCCCATTGTGCAGGAAGTCCAGTAAGAGCCCTGTCAATGTGAACCAACTCAAGCTCCCCCTGGTGTTCCCGTTGGGGTCGTATCAAGGCCCTAGCCCCCCAGCCAGGCTTCAGATCAACACCCCCAGATTCCTTTAACAGAATACCCTTAAGCATGGAGGGGCAGGTGATGGCCACACCTCCCCTCCCCCACAAAAGGTCAATCAATGCCTAACCGCAACCCTAACAAAGTTGTGGCGATTGCTACGAGGTAGGTGAAAACCAAGTGGCCAGTGCCAATTTGCCAAGTGGAAAAATTCCTACAAGTCCCCTCGGACAACCAAGGCGACCAACCGAAGTCCATAGCAAGATCACTTCCTAACCTGCAAAATAGGGAGGGAGGGCGGGTGATTGAGGAAGCGAACCAAAGAGGAAGTCCTCTGGCTCACTCCTCCATTTAAATAACTCTGGATTGGCTGGCTGGGCTCTGATGTAGCCGGGATCCCCCAGACAATGGGGGACAAAGTCCCCCGTCCCCGGTGGGGAGTGGGTGGCCACGCGGTCCACCACAACTCCTCCCCACTGGGAAGTGGAGCGAATTTGTGCAACAGGACAGCTCTTGTGCCTCACCTTATCCCAGGAACCCCCCAGAGTTCTTTGGTCTCAGCTTGTGCCATGTCTCTGAGTAGCACCAGTTCAGAGAAGGCCCCCGTGAAACCAGGGGTGTCAACTCTCCCAGCTAGATCAATTCAGAGATCTAATGAGAGGACCATTCTTTATATTTCTATGCATGTACAGGCCATAAAATTCTCCAGTAAACACAAGCACACTCCCCCCCCCGACATATATATAACAATATATATTTTGTATATAACAATACAAAATCAATTCATTTGTATTTCATCTTTGGCGATGGGCCAGGTGAAGAGTAATTGCAAGAATTAAAAGGCCACAATAACCACACAATAACATTAAGATGCCACATTTTCGATATGTAGAATCAGCATAAGTGCCCTGAACAACGTGAAACTTCCTTACTCTTCAGGACATTTTTGAGAGGGGGCGGGGAATAACTCCAGAGACCTTTTACCTCACACTGAAGCATGATTTCCATTGGTTTTGTTCTGTGGTTTCCCCACCCTTCTATTTGTCATTAGTTATATATTAAAAATAATACACCCATTTAGGTGCCCTTTCCATATGTATATTTTCCTGACTTAGGGATTTAAACTAGAAGGTAGGATATAAATATTTTAAATAAGTAAGAACGATATGAATAACATGCTTTGTATGCACAATAATATAGGACATGTTGTTCTGCCTGGTTCATTATTGTTTCCTACACTGACTGGCAACCACTTTCTAGGGGATTTCCCCAGCCTTATCTGCAGATGCAGCAGCAAAAAAGATGCTCCATTACTGAGCTGCGACCATTCCCCTCTGCACATGTTTATTAACAAAGAAGACTTACCTGTTCTACAGTTTTAGATCCAAATAGTTTAGTTTGCAGTGGGACGCGGGTGGCGCTGTGGGTTAAAGCCTCAGCGCCTAGGACTTGCCGATCGAAAGGTCGGCGGTTCGAATCCCCACGGCGGGGTGCGCGCCCGTCGCTTGGTCCCAGTGCCTGCCAACCTAGCAGTTCGAAAGCACCTTCGGGTGCAAGTAGATAAATAGGGACCGCTTACCAGCGGGAAGGTAAACGGCGTTTCCATGTGCTGCGCTGGCTCGCCAGATGCAGCTTGTCACGCTGGCCACGTGACCCAGAAGTGTCTCCGGACAGCGCTGGCTCCCGGCCTATAGAGTGAGATGAGCGCACAACCCTAGAGTCTGGCAAGACTGGCCCGTACGGGCAGGGGTACCTTTACCTTTACCTTTACCTTAGTTTAGTTTGCAATTATGAAACGACGTCTATTTTTACATAGCCCATCTAACACTTGACTGCAAACTCTATTCTTACTCCATGAATGGAAGAACACATTGGATACAGTCCAAAGTATATTTGTGGAATTGAAATGCTACCAATATCCCCTTTTAATTTTTCTTAAATTGCAGTACTTTGTGGACGTGATCCCACCAGATTTATGATTCCGGCAGAAGAATAAGAGTGCTTGCTTCAGCACCTCCCACTGAAATTGGTGGGGAATTTGAAGTGCTTAACTTCAGCTTGATTTCTCCCTTCGCTTCTGACAAGATGTATGTAGTGAAATGCCTAAACTGAGTCTTTTCGGCATCTAGCAACAGCATCTGACACTGAAGCTAGTCTGCAGGCTCTCTCACGCATGTGACTGCAATCAGTGCTGGCAGCCCCAAAGCAGCCATCCCAGGGCTTTAGGTTCTCTCCAGTAAGAAAATAAACACCAGTGTGCAAAGTGACAATGCCTCTACGAATGCTCAAATTTCCCTTATCTCACGGCAGAGTGGGAAGACCCTCCACGTAATGAACTGTAAAGCCCTTGGCTCTCGACCAACACGCGCTTCCTCTGGGAAATCAAAGTTACCTCACGAATTTAAAACTTAGTTTAAGAATTCGCTTTGTAAGTCATGCATGACCTTCATTCTGCCAAGGATGTCCGTAGTCTGAGAAAGGCTGAAAATCACACATGTGTAGAAAATTTCCTTGTGGAAGCTGTACACTACACAGTTCGCATGTAATGCTAAGCCAAACTGTAGCCTCAGCGCAAACATACAGGCTTACAAAAACACACGCAAATGCTTCTTCCAAGGATGCTGATAACCCCCCCCCCTTTTTTTTTTTGCAAGGGTGAGCTGTCATACTGTTTTGGCTACATAAACCCAGGCACCTTGCGAAGTTGGGAGTGATTATTCAGGTGTTTGGAGACTTCAGTTTTCATGCCATCTCAAATACATAAGGAGTCCTTTTTCTCAAGAACTGCTGTGACTTATTTACTTTATTTGCTAAGGTGTTGTGCGAAGCTGATCTCCGTGTGGGTTGGCTAGCACCAGTGAAAGATTTCTGGGTTTGCCGTATCTGCTGTACTTCCGCAGAATATTTAGGGTCATTACAGTATTAGGAACGGCAGCATCATTACTTCCAAATGCATCAGTTGCACTGAAATCAGATTCACAATTATTTGCAAACATCAAGTAAAAGATTGCAAATAATAATAACAATCATAATAATCATAATAATTTATTATTTATACCCTGCCCATCTGGCTGGGTTCCCCCAGCCACTCTGGGCAGCTTCCAACTGAATATTAAAAACAATACAGCATTAGACATTAAAAACTTCCCTAAAAGGGGCTGCCTTCAGTTGTCTTTTAAAAGTAAAATAGTTGTTTATTGCCTTGACATCTGCTGGGAGGGCATTCCACAGGGCAGGTGCCACTACCGAGAAGGCCCTCTGCCTGGTTCCCTGTAACCTTACTTCTCGCAATGAGGGAACCACCGGAAGGCCCTCGGTGCTGGATCTCAGTGTCCGGGCTGAACGATGGGGGTGGAGACGCTCCTTCAGGTATACAGGACGGAGGCCGTTTAGGGCTTTAAAGGTCAGCACCAACACTTTGAATTGTGCTCGGAAACGTACTGGGAGCCAATGCAGATCTCTCAGAACCGGTGTTATGTGGTCCTGGCGGCCACTCCCAGTCACTCCCAGTAATAGTGATAACGATAATAATTAAAAACCATAACAGTAACAGTAAAGTTAGTCAAATATGCTTGCTTATAGCTTTAAAAAAAGGTTGAAAGTATCCAGTTTTTTGTCAGAGGGCAGTAAAATATCTGCACAGTTTAATTTAGACTGTCAAAGGGCTAATTTTCTCTCCGTTCTGAAAGGATGGCTTCCTTCTGCTGCTTTTGTGGTATTCGGGTGCCATCCAGTGGCAAATAACTGTAAGACACATTGAGAAAGGGGAAAAACCAAGTACCTTATGAAATCCCCTTTTAAAAAGACAAGCGAGGCAGAAAATGTCATCGGGCAGCCAGTGCCTTGCAGTTCACTCTGGAGCAGAATCCTGAACTCGTAATGTAGAGTACAAGTAATTTAATGCAGGGGGAAAAATTCTGGTCTCGCTCAGCATGGTGGGGGCGAGGAGATTTGGGAGAAAGAAAAGTGCAGACTTACTGTATTCATGTTTCAAAAGGTGTTTTTTTAAAGATACATCAGTGATAAAAGATGAAATACCTCAACTTCTTTAAGTGCAGGTTATCCATTGACGTCCTGTTGATGTCTCTGTTTGTATCATGTATAAAACACATTGGGACTTTTATCCCTGCTACTGTAAATTGCCTTAAGCTTTTACGCCAGCTTCATATGTGCGTGGGCACAGCTTTTCCTGTAACGCTTGGGCCTACAAGTTGGGCCTTGACAACAGTATCGACATCCCTGCGCATGGAAAATGCCAGGGAGAAGTCTAGATTGAAACCTCCCTGCTATATTTTGTCATGTCCCCCCCACTGTCCCTGCCCTGCTTCTACCCCTGACCTCTTCTAGAAGGGCTGTAGAGAAGCACTGAAGTAGGCAACTCTTCACCCTGAAATGGTACGATCCAGGAAAATCTGTGTCCACAGGACTGGTCAAACGCCTCACCTGTGATGTAACATGTATGTCGTGTGAGTGTGGCAACCCTCTCTCCACTTACCACGGATGCATCTGACCTTCAGGTGGTGAGTTGTTCGCTGGGCTCTACAGTGACTACTGGGGGCGAGATGCTGCCATCTTCCGCACAATGGGCCGTGCGGCACACATCCGGACTGAGCCAGACGATGAGCGCCTGCTGAAAGGTACAAGGGGTCCGTAAGAAATCTTCGTTGTTTAATAATAGTAATCATAAAAATAAACAATAGTGTTTTGCCCAGATGCGCCAGGAGGTTTAAAAGGCTTCGGCGACACAAGGTTCTAGCCTTATCCTCCCTGCAAAGTCCTCTCCAAATCATTGCTAATCCCCTTAGCAGTCAATATCTGCAGTATCAGTGATGATCCCTCAAAAAGATCTCAGGGGAACAGTACTTTTGCTTGAGAGTCCAGATTGGGGAGGGCACTGGGGAGTCCAACTATAACTTGTGCATTGGGTCCTTTAAGGTAAAGGTAAAGGTACCCCTGCCCGTACGGGCCAGTCTTGACAGACTCTAGGGTTGTGCGCCCATCTCACTCAAGAGGCCGGGGGCCAGCGCTGTCCGGAGACACTTCCGGGTCACGTGGCCAGCGTGACATTGCTGCTCTGGCGAGCCAGAGCCGCACACGGAACGCCGTTTACCTTCCCGCTAGTAAGCGGTCCCTATTTATCTACTTGCACCTGGGGGTGCTTTCGAACTGCTAGGTTGGCAGGCGCTGGGACCGAGCAGCGGGAGCGCACCCCGCCGCGGGGATTCGAACCGCCGACCTTTCGATCGGCAAGCCCTAGGCGCTGAGGCTTTTACACACATAAACATCATGCGTTTGGCCAATTGTGCAATGCCAATAGTTCATACAGACCCAAATTGCTCCCTGCTAATTCTACAGAGTAGGAAACAGAATTTGCACACTCAGTCAGCTGACAAGGACTCCATAGGCAGAGAAAGAATCAGAATGTCCCATACCCCTGGACCTTTGAGTTGCGCATTTGTAGACATGATTTGTTTGATCCTTCCCCTGCGAAAAGGGATGGGGAAGTCAGACATCTGGTATATGGATGTGCATAACGCCACACTTTATTTTGCTCACGTCAGGTTTGGGAGAAGTAAGACATGCACAACAGCTCACCTACCATGCATACTAAGGTCCTCATGCACCTGAGTGTGTGAACTACCTCGCTGTTTGACTCTCTCATTGCCCCGAGCTATTTTGAATGTGCGCTCTGGAAGACTCACTCCCTTGGGTTTCTTAATTTTTGCTTGAGTTGTGAGCGTCATGTAGATTGAGGGCCATGATGACTGTCAAAGGATCGTCCCTACAGAGCCTTGATGAGTTGAGTTATTCTGATCTACCCCAAGGGTAAACGTCAGTGTTTGGTATCTCATGGCCAAGTCACATGATTCCAATTTGACAACAAAAGAGGCGAAATGCTTTCAAATCAGCACATCCCTCTCGCACAGCGTCTTGCTCTCCCCACCCCCACTCCCAGTGGCAAATCAGTCTGCCTCAACAGCTCTGATTCCTGTTTTGTATACAGCCACAGATGGTTGTATCAAATGCATGCCAAGTTTCAGGCTAATATAAATTAAAATAAATGAACACCAGAGAGTAAGATTGGAAAAGGATCTTGGGGGGGGGGTTGTGTATGTGTGTAAGAAAAAAATATTGATATGTAAGTTGGAGCTACACAAATATTTTCAAAGCTGATATTCTCCATATGTTCATTCACTTGCATGAAACAGTTTTTAAGTTTGTTTTTTGGTCCCCCTTGAGATCTTGGCTGTTATTGCTTTGCAGTTCCATTCATATTTACTAGAAATATCTATTGCAAAAGTGTGTTTGTACTTAAGGCTATCTTCCTCAGGACTTAGGCACATTTCAAATATTAGAGCAGTATACTGGAGAGGAAATTTGGCTTCTCCTCTCTGTGAGCCAGGATCTGGACCAAGAGGTATTGCTAGGGTAAACCCATGAGGTAGAGACCCCCAAATCTTTCCTGAAGTGTCGCACATGCTTCTGGGTCATTCATGAATTTGCAATAAATTGAATTGGGTGTGTATGTGTGTAGGATATTAATTTCAGGAAACAAATTAATGTAAGACTACTTTTACAGATGATTAGGGGGTTATGGAATGGGTGTAAGTGAAGGAGAATTTAATTGATTTAGAGCAGGCTATACTGGGAAATTAACCGGGGGTAAATGAATTGAAGAGGAACAGATTTGGGGTGATTTAGAGTAGGGTGGAAATTAACAATTTGTCTGGAGTGATTTGAGTGGGAAATTGTTTGGCCTGCCCTCTGTGGAACTGAAGTGTTTAATTTCTTCCTCTTTGTATACATTTGGAGATGCAAATATTACTAAGACTTGTGTCTTTGTGCATTTTTGAAGTACCTCCCTGTGCCCCACTTTGTGGCCACATTTAAGCAGGAATTTGGAAGATGCTGGTAAATGCTTCCCTCTTTTTGGTGCCTTTATCTCACTCCAAAAAGCAGAGAGAATCTCATTGTGGGCTTACCTGCTCGCCACTTAAGGCCCCCGTAGCAATCTATCATGAGCTGCACGGTCAATGCTAATGTGCCAGCATCCTGTGTATGATGTATAGGCCACATTATGGCCAGTCCACATCATTTGTACTCCTTCTGAAATTATTAACCTCAAGCAGCCCTTGCAAATTCATCACCGCAGTTGAAGGTGCAATGACTGCGTTGCCCTGCAGCAGTTTGGCAAGCTTAGATCCGCAGTCCTGTTATTTTATTGAGATAAAACACTTGCAGACGTGTGCCTGAATTCACTCAGTTCCAAGTGTGCGAACCCAGGTCTGTCAGCTTGAATGGGAAGACTTCCTGTTCCCTTTCCCAACTGTGATCCGGAGTCTGTCCATTTAGTTCCTAATGATACACATCAAGAGACTAGAAATGAAGGCACTCTGGTTTTCGGGATCTCAAAATGTTCCTGGATTGTGACCTATAACCCCCGTCCCCAAGCGAGCCAGTGTGGTGTAGTGGTTAAGAGTGGTGGACTCGTAATCTGGGTAACCGGGTTCGATTCCCCGCTCCTCCACATGCAGCTGCTGGGTGACCTTGGGCCAGTCACACTTCTCTGAAGTCTCTCAGCCTCACTTACCTCACAGAGTGTTTGTTGTGGGGGAGGAAGGGAAAGGAGAATGTTAGCCGCTTTGAGACTCCTTTGGGTAGTGATAAAGTGGGATATCAAATCCAAAACTCAAGCCATAGATAGCTCAGTGCTCATGTCTGCCTTGGGCCAGTCCATAATATCTGGAACAAAAAGTGTGCTATCTGGTTGCACTTATACATTTTTTTATATATGCATGATTACCAGTGTTTTTCTAAAATAAATTTGATTCATCCCTTTTTCCTTTTGCTTTTTTGGTATCTCTTCCCTTCCCCTCCCCTTTTCTTTGTTTTTTTAAAGAACCAAAATTTGTAAGCTCCTTCATGATTCCTGACAATGAAGACCGGGAAGATAACAAGGTGTACTTCTTCTTTACTGAGAAAGCGTTAGAGGCTGAGACAGGTGCTCACGCCATCTATTCCAGAGTCGGAAGAATGTGTGCCGTAAGAAACCTTTAATGATAAAACTTCTGCTTACAGTGTGTTCCTTCTTTTTGCTTTTGTTTCGATCCTTTGGGTTTGGGAAAGCTAAAAGTAATATACACACAAGAACATCCAAGCCTGAATTCTGACTTTCTTCCAGGCTCCATATTAAAGAGCCCCTTGTCCAGAGACAGGGTGAGAGATGGTTGTGACCACCCACCTAACTGTGGTTCTGGCATAGCTCAGCAATGAGCTGCATCCTTAGACCTCATTCCCTATTGAGTGGCATAAAGTCAAACTTGAGGAGAAACATAAAAGGGATCAAGAGAAACGGGTATGGAAAGAAAACAGTCACTTGAGTGGCAGGCCGCATGCAAAATTTTGGTCTGCTCCTTATCTTGTGTGTGTGTGTGTGTGTGTGTGTGTTTTCCTAAATTTAACTCAGAGCTTCTGTTGAGGAAAAATAAAATTACAAAAGCTCAGCATTAAGCCCAATAGAAGAAACCAACAGAGCTTTGCATGCTTTGGAGATCCCACCACCACCACCACCACGCCTGATCTTAATCATGTTTTCTTAGTGGAGAGCCCAATTTATTTTAGTGCAACTTGCTTTTACATAAATGGGCTTGGGGTTGCAGCTTCCCAGCCTTGTCCTGCTCATGTTTACTCAAATGCAAGTGCCACTGCAAATGAATGATACTTCCTTCTCAATGAATGTCTGTAGGATTGCAAAAGAAGGTTTGGCTAAACAGTGGGAAATACCTCTATGTAAATATGCACAGAATCTCATAAATGTCACTTTTCTAACTGCAAAAAAAACAACAACAACAAAAAAACAAGATAAGAACAGGGAGGGGAAATTCCCTCAGAAAGTTTGGCATAAGAACCACTAGTTGGAATGTCGTATAATCTCTGCATGAACATATTGGGAACATTCAATAAGCATAATAATAATAATAATAATAATAATAATAATAATAATAATAATAATATATTTATACCCTGCCCATCTGGCTGGGTTTCCCCAGCCACTCTGGGCGGCTTCCAACTGAATATTAAAAACAATACAGCACCAGACATTGAAAACTTCCCTAAACAGGACCGCCTTCAGTTGTCTTTTTAAAAGTAAAATAGTTGTTTATTGCCTTGACATCTGCTGGGATGCGCCACTACCGAGAAGGCCCTCTGCCTGGTTCCCTGTAACCTCACTTCTCACAGTGAGGGAACCGCCAGAAGGCCATCAGCACTGGACCTCAGTGTCCGGGCTGGATGATGGGGGTGGATAACTTCCCCACAGGTTTTGTGTCAGCATATCAACATGGACGCTCAATAAGTAGCCAGTCTAGAAGCTCAACCATTCATTCAACACTATATTAAAGTTAAAAATTAAAATTAAAAAAATCACAAGACATGTCACAGAATAGGGCAAGTCAGCACCATTCATAGCCAGCTTTTAATGCAGAATTGCAGAACAGGCATGATTTTATAGCTCAGCCCTGGGGAGAGAGGGAAATGTTTCTTTGCACCCTTAGGAAAGGAGGGTAATTAGTAACTGTAGTCATTATATACAAGATTTTTTACTTTAGGATTACAGCACCCAGAATGAGTTCCATGAAGTAACTCGAGTCTGAAATAAACAAATGTGAGGGTCATTATTTCTTAATCTCACTGAACTAATGCTAAGGGTGATTAATAAAACAAAGAATTTAACTGGCTAGCATATTTGCTTCACAGATGTGCCAAAATTAAGTAATCGGAAAGGGATTAATAATATCTAGACAGTTAAAACTTGTTATTGCCATGGTTTTCATTAAAAAATTCTTACCAAACTGCAGCTTTTAATGAGTACTTTGATAGTTTAGAAAAAATGTAGACTCTGGAGTAATAATGCAAGCTATATAAAAAGCAAAGGTGGTCACTGTAGGTAGGACATAAGAAAAAAAGGGGGGGAATCTGCTATAGGGAAAGATCTTTATTAGGACCAACCAAAAAATCACAAAATACTGAGCAGGTTTTGAGATTCTCCAGAACTCTTCATAATGTTGGATACTATAATAATAATAATAATAAGAAGAAGAAGAAGAAGAAGAAGAAGAAGAAGAAGAAGAAGAAGAAGAAGAAGAAGAAGAAGAAGTATTATTATTATTTATTATTTATACCCGCCCATCTGGCTGAGTTCCCCCAGCCACTCTGGGCAGCTCCCAATCAAGTGTTAAAAACAGTACAGCGTTAAATATTAAAAACTTCCCTGAACAGGGCTGCCTTCAGATGTCTTTTAAAGATAGGATAGCTGCTTATTTCCTTCACATCTGAAGGGAGGGTGTTCCACCGGGTGGGCGCCACTACCGAGAAGGCCCTCTGTCTGGTTCCCTGTAACCACACTTGGCCCTCGGCACTGGATCTTTTACTATGCAAAGCAAGTGAGGGAAGAAAAAATGCTGGCTTGATGTTAAAGCCATAAAGTCTTCATATACAGTGGAAGTGTCAAATCTACTCGTAGCAGCAAAGTTGTGATCCAAAATTTCCCCTCCAATAGCAGGAGAACACAACACGTCTAACCTGTGCCTGTGTTTGTCTTCTCTTTCTTGCTCTGTCCTCTCCAGAATGACATGGGTGGACAACGGATGCTGGTGAATAAATGGACCACTTTCCTCAAAACCAGGTTGATCTGCTCTGTGCCAGGAATGAACGGAATCGACACACATTTCGATGAGCTAGGTGAGCTTCCTGCTTCTGCGTAGGTGGAAGGCACAGCCCATTATAAACTCATGCAGATTCACAGCTGTTCGTAAGTGACTGGTATCACTAAGTTCCTATGAAGTGGTTGAGCATCATGATGAAACATGGTTTATTGTGTTGAGAATGAGTCAAAATTTGCATTGGCCTTTTATGCTTCACACCAACCCTTTCCTCCTCTGGCACAGCCATGAGGAAAACAGATTCTTTCCTTCTATTTTTTTTAAAAAAAATAACTATTGGTTTATTACACTTATATATTACACTTATATGCCACCTTTTCCTCAAGGTGCTGTGACTGGCTCTCCTCTCTCTCTGTGAGGTACAGCAGCCTGACTGAGGGATGTTGACTGGTCCAAGGTTACCCAGTGAGCTTCATGGCTGAGTGGGGATTTGAACCCTGGCCATAGTGCGCAGCTTGACGTTTCATCCAAACCCAGGAAATTGTGGCTAATCTTAACTATAGTTTGTTTGAAACCATCGATGGCAAAGTTGCCTGCTACAACAAAACGTCTGGTGTAGCGCTAAATTGTGGACGATCACAAACAGAAGCAAAACCTTCTCAACTTGTCCTCACATTCATATCAGGAGAGAAGAGGAAAGACACATGGCAGCTTGTTCTGGTTGTGTTCAATTGTGATTTGCCATGACATCCATAATGGCCCTGTGTGTCAGTGGTGATGAAACAGAAGTAAGAATGGAAACCTGTTCATTTGCTAGGTTGCATAAGCAGTCACTAAGACTACTTTCTTCCATAAATGGTTTATTCATACTTAACCACCATCATGCCTCCACTTTGCAGAGGACGTCTTTTTGCTCCACACTCGGGATAACAAAAACCCCGTGATATTCGGACTCTTCAACACTACAAGGTAAGCCATCGTGATGTAGCCACCCTAGATGAAAGACGGATACATTTTGAGAAACCTGCTTTATGGTGAATGTGAAAACACCATATGCCATATTAGCAAATGAAAGGGTCTGGTTAGATATATTTTCTGAGGTGTCAGTCAACATAGTGGACTGAGACTTGGACATAGAATAGGAAGTATTTATTTATCGACTGCCCTTCATCAACTGATCACAGGGTGGACCACAATATTTCAATAAAACAAGCACAAAAATGCAACCATTGTGATTGCATTTGTAACATACAATACAATTTAAGAACCCGTTTTTTCAGGTTTTTTACCCATAATACCATGATAGCAGCAGACCAAATCAATAGTAATACCCAGGCCCAAGTGTAAGAGTATCCCAATGGCCTGGATGAATAAGTACATCTCCAGTTGGCAATGAAAACTCAACATTGAAATGTTGGGTGCATCTTCAGGGAAAGGGACTCCACCACAGAGAAGGTCCCAAGAGATAGCACTCATTGGAGAGATTGTTGCAGATCTTAACATCCAGGCTGACAAATACTGGAAGAGGCGCAACTTCAAGTATTTGTTCAGACCTTTATGTGTCAGCATATAAATGGGTCCAGAAGCATATCAGTAGCCAATGACATTCTTGGACAATTGGTGTGTTATGGTCGGTACACCCCGCAAAGCCCTCTAGTGAGATACTGTGCCAGCTGCAGCTTCTGCATTGCCTTCAAGGAAAGTCCTATGTAAAGTGTATTGCAGTAATCTGAACATGAGGTTACCAGAGTCTTTCTTGATTTTTGTTTTGCAGCAACATATTCCGAGGATATGCTATATGTGTCTATCACATGGCTAGCATCCGGGCAGCTTTCAATGGACCATATGCCCATAAAGAGGGACCTGAATACCACTGGTCTGTGTATGAAGGGAAAGTGCCATATCCAAGGCCTGGATCAGTAAGTGAGAGAAGTTCCCCTCCATCCCCCAAATGTCATAAAATAGAGTGCCGTTGAAACAAAAAAACAGACAAATCTTGTAGATAACAACTGGAGTTGCCGGGGCAGTTGGTCAGTTGGCCCATAAACACACCTCTGACTTCAATAATAATAATACCTTTATAATAATACCTTTATTGTCAATGTACAAGCTGTGTACAATGAAATTAACCGAGCCTCCCTCCCCCCTCAAACACTCAGTCTCAATTGCACTCTGTGTGCTTGTCGCACAACACACCAACCCTGAAAGTCAGTTGCACTATATTATTTTCCATTCAGCAGCCTAACAGCCCACAGATAAAAACTGTTTTTTAGCCTGTTGGTACAACTGATTATACTTCTATATCTCCTGCCCGAGGGTAGAAGATTAAAGAGGTGCTGGCCGGGGTGTGAATTGTCCCTGAGAATTTTTCTCGCCCTCCTAAGGCAACGATCCCTTGCAATGTCATCTAGCAGGCTCAGGGGACAGCCCATGATATCATGTGCTGTGTTCACCACCCTCTATAAAGACTTTCTGTCCGTGGCTGTCAAGCCAATGTACCACACTGTGATACAATATGAGAGGACACTTTCTATTGTGGACTAGTAGAAGGAGGTCATCAATTGTTGTTTAACATTGTTCTTTCGCAAGACGCTGAGAAAATGGAGTCTCTGTTGGGCCTTCCTAACCACCTGAGTTCTATTGTTTTTCCAAGTGAGGTCTTCACTAAGGTAAACTCCCAGGTATTTAAAGGAAGAAACTCTCTCCACACAACCCCCCGATATACAACGGGCTAGTTCCCCTCTCTTCCTCCAAAAGTCCAACACCATCTCCTTTGTCTTGCTAATATTTAGGTGCGAGTTATTCTCTAAGCACCATGTAGATACTTTTTGAACCTCCTCCCTGTACGCTGATTCATCTCCACCTGTATTTAGACCCATTGTGGTAGTATCATCTGCAAACTTAATAATTACAGTGGATGGATCAGATGAAATACAGTCATATGTATACAACGAGTACAGGTAGGGACTCAGCACACATCCCTGCGATGTGCCAGTGCTGAGCTTCATGGAGGTAGATGTAACAGGCCCAATCCTTACTGTTTGTGTCCAATCCCTCAGAAAGTCTTTAATCCTGTCACAGATGGTAGAAGAAAGGTCTAATTCCATCAGCTTTTTGATAACAATGTCCGGAAGGATGGTATTAAAAGCCGAGCTATGATCAGTAAACAACATTCTAACATAATTCCCCGGTCTCTCCAGATGACTCGCTGCAAGGTGAGTCATCCCTCTTTGCTTTCCCCCATATGAACAAAGGGCTGCCATTCATTGCACTTGGAGCTTGCTTCTGGAGGGGGCAAAACCTGCTTCATATCAGTGGGACTCCCACTGGCAGAAATCCTAAGTGAGATAAGACCTTTCCCTGGCCCAGAAAGGAAGGTCCATAAGAAGAAGCCAGTTTCTCCGCATGTAGCTAGAGCAGAGGTCCCTCCACGCTCTGCCCTGCCTCTGTTCTAACCTGGCATGGTGTCTGATTTGGAGGGGCCTGTCAGAGCTCCTAGATGTTGTGGGTGACTAGGGCTCGTCTGGGGTGGGGAACATCTACATGGGACTCTCTCCCTTTCTATCATGACACTGGGTGTAAAGGTAAAGGTACCCCTGCCCGTACGGGCCAGTCTTGACAGACTCTAGGGTTGTGCGCTCATCTCACTCTAGAGGCCGGGGGCCAGCGCTGTCCGCTGACACTTCTGGGTCACATGGCCAGCATGACGAAGCTGCTCTGGCGAACCAGCACCAGCGCAGCACACGGAACGCCGTTTACCTTCCCGCTATAAAGCGGTACCTATTTATTCTACTTGCACTTAGGGGTGCTTTCGAACTGCTAGGTGGGCAGGAGCTGGGACCGAACGATGGGAGCTCACCCCGCCGCAGGGATTCGAACCGCCAACCATGCGATCGGCAAGTCCTAGGTGCTGAGGTTTTACCCACAGCGCCACCCGCATCCCTCTCAACACTGGGTGTAGTTAAGGGAATTATTGGCTGCAAACCTGGAAGTGGGAACAGGACATAAAATACTTTGACTTAGGAAAGGAAGACTGCACACTCCTTAACTTACTTATTTTGGCCAGTTAAAATTCCACTGCAGCAACTGCCTTCTCAGTCAGAACACCTCTCCTTTGAGTAAGCAGAGACTTGGTGCAAATGAACAGGGGGAAATGGTATTTGAGCCACTGGATCAGTGGCATGCAATGAATTTTTTTGTAGGGGAACAGTTAGGGCCGGAGGTGCCAGGTTGTGAGGGTGATGTGGGAGAGCAACATCATGTGCGTGGGCATCGCACCGCCCTCCCTAAACTGGACAGAAGCTTCCCGGGCTTTGGGGAGGAGGGTCCAGGCTTCTGACAGAATGCTGGATCCCTGCTGCCTCCTTCCCAAAGACAGGAGTGCTTTGGGGAGGTGGTGGGAGGGCTCTTGGACCCCATCGGAGCATCGCGCCTGCCTCCCTAAGCCAGGAAGAAGCTTCCTGGGCTTTGCAAAGGAGGCACCAGGCTTTGATACTTTAATACTCTAATTTACTGGGAACATTTAGGGGACTAGCCTGTTCCCCCTTAGTCCACTGACTGCACACCACTGCACTGGATCTTAAACATTGATTCATTCTAAGGCAAATCCCTGCTAGAGCTTCGCAGAGCCTCTCCTGTTGCTGTTGGCATCTCTCTAAACAGTCGGCTTAATTGCTTAATGCCCAGCATGGTGCTTTCAAATACAGCACTACAAAGCAACCCCAAAGAATAATAAACCCCCCGCCCAAAATGTGCTGATGGCCTAAGTTAGCCTTGAAGCGATTTACACATATTTTTTTTCAAACATTTTGTTTTAAATCCATCTAAATAACACGTTCTCAAATCTTGCTCAAGCTGGAACTTTTCAACAGGATTTGGCATTTCTGTTTCATTGGCTTGCAGCTGCACATGGGAAACCTTACATCCAAGCTCCTGCTTGAAAGCCACATGCAACGCCTTTTATGATGAAAATCCCACTGCTGGCTGATTAGAAAATGCACTTCAAAACCGAGGCTGAGCAAAAAAGCCAGGGCATAGCCAAGACCCAGGGAAAAGAAAATAAACACGGCCCCATTTGACAAGTGCAGGAGTTTATTAGAGTCAATTACAGCCCCTGCCGCAAGTTGAGACTGAATGTTTCCAGTAAACATAAAGAGTATTTTATTTCACTTTATTGATTGAAAATCCAATTTAAATAGGGAGAGCCTGCTACTGTGGCTGGGTTTGAACCATCTCTTAAAACCACACTGTTTTCAACAGCCGTGTAGGAAATAAATGATTACTGAAATATTTCTAGCAAAAACTTTAAATGGTTCTAATTAAAGTGCACAAGGTAACTTTTGAACATAAGACTCTATAAGGAGCTACTTCTATCGACTAATTTAAAGCTTCCTTTTCAGGATAAAAACGTGTCTATTTTAGTACAGTTAGTGAACTTAAACTTGTGACAGCAATTGCTCCTGCCCCTGACTCTTGAGCCTGCTGGCTGGTCTGATGGGAGTTGGGAGTCCAACAGTGTCTGGGGGTCGACAGCTTCCTCTGCCCTAGAAGCAAACAGCAAATTGCTGGTGTATAATCTTCTACTTTCCTGATGTGCAGAAAGGAGTTCCATAGCAGTACCCCTCTCTTGCAGGAGAAAATGTTGACATGCATGGCTGGGGCTGAATCCTACCCCCTGGTTGTATTTTATAAGATGTTTAGGGTGAGGATAGAAACACTGGCATGTGCTATAGCTCTGAGGGGTGCTCACTCAGCACATCTGTCTTTTGCAAGGCTATGGGTGTAAATCAAAGGAAATTAAGCTAGGGATTGGAATCAAATATTGCTGACCAATTCTTTTCTTTAAAAAAAAACAGCATTAGCATTTGCATGTTTGAAGAAACGGAAAACTTAACATCTTTTTTTTCCCTATCAGACCGATATAATTTATTGTTGCACGGCACCCCAATCTCCAAGCTCTGCGAGATTCCAAGCACTTATTAAGGATTCAGGTTTCCTTTGGAAATGAGACACGGTGGAGACTGTGGTGTCTTTATGATCTATGCACACGTTTATTTGCACACATACCTGAGCCTAGGATTGAGGGGTTCCCAGCATTACACTCCAAGAGGGTCTGACTTCTGTCATGGCCAAAGCAGCCTTGGATTCAAAAAGACTCCAGATGTGGCTCAACCTCTCTCCAGCTTGCCACATTTTTACAGACTGCAACTATTTTCCTCCAGCCCACATCATCCCCAATGGCAATCCTAAACTCTCCACTCTGTTTTGTCTCTGTGAACCATCTCAGAGCTCAGGGAGGGACTCAACCCGTTTGCCAGCTGGCACAGAGTCTTTAGTTTGCCAATGACCCATCTCTACTTTGTTAATGGCCCATCCCTCAGGCGATCTCCTGAACACACAAGGCTGAGTCCAGCTATTCAGAGTCTGACCTCCAGTTTAACTCTCCAAGCATTCATTAAATTCTAGCACCTATGAGGCCCAGGGATTTAAGGGAGCCTTGCACCCACAAACCCTGGCACCACAACTCTTAACAATATTGTTTTGAATCTGTCCCATCAACTATTGCACTCTTCTTGGAGAAGAGATGTTTAGAAAGTCATTTGAGAGACAGACTGCTAGAGAAGTTACATTTCAAGGGAAAGTCGTTGAAACGCATCATTGCTCTCCACAGGTCGGAACAAATCCCTCAATCTTCAAGTTCTGCAGCTGCTTTGTTTTCTACTTTTTTTTCCAGCTTTGGCATTATCCAACTTCGAAAGTGATCACAAGTTCACAGTTGCAACTTTCTATCTACTCCTTTTTTAGAAAACCTAGAAATCTAATCTATTCCATGTATTTTCTCAAACCGCAATGCTTATTGCAAAAGATATCATTTGATCTTAGCCAAAATCTGGATGCTGTGCAGTGCATGTGAGTCCTAATCTGTCCAGTGATTTTTGTACCTTAGTAAGTGTGTATACGAGGGCAGGCTTAATCTTACAAAATAAAGCAGGACCCACCTTTTACTAGCTCCATTTTCTTCCATGGACGGCTATGGGCATCATAACTGTAATCTACTTTGTGTTTCCTAGTGTGCCAGCAAAGTGAATGGAGGTCTGTACGTGAGCACCAAAGACTATCCAGATGAAGCCATCCGTTTTGCTAGGAGTCACCCACTGATGTATCAGTCGGTTAGGCCTGTTCATAAGAGACCAGTTCTTGTGAAGACGGATGGGAAATACAACCTCAAACAAATAGTCGTAGACAGAGTGGAAGCAGAAGACGGGCAATACGATGTCTTATTTATTGGGACAGGTAAATGAAAAAGAAAGAGGAGGGGTTAAAAGCACCCACTTTCCCTTCTTTTCTTCCCCAACTCAGCTTCCATGCACTTAGGTGAACTCTGAGCAGTCTTCCTTGGCCCGGCTACCTGCAGGCCTGAATTTCTGGCTCCCAGCTGATGCTCACGCTCTGCTTTCTCCCTAGTCAATGTTCACTTCTTGGGTTTTTTGTATTTTGGTTAAAGGAAAAGATATGGTATATTTAAAGAGAGAGAGAGAGAATTCCCTGGATGCCTGAGATCCAGGTTGGGGACAAGTATTCTTGGGTAAGAGATTTAAAATCGCAAACCTGTGCCCCTCCAGATTTTGTAGTACTATAACTCCTGTGTTACCTGGCCATTGGCCATGCTGCCTTGGAATGGTGGCCATTTGACTCCCAAAACTTAGGGGGACTTGCCGTTGCCTGGCAATGAGGCTAATATTCTTCAGATATGATTCCTTGTGATGGGCAGGGCCACACTTCTGTCATCATGGCCATTGGGCAATTGGCTACTCATTTCACTGCCCTCCTCCAGCCTTGGCTCCTGGGGTCCCTCATGCCAGATGTTCTGGAGGTCTCGATTTAGCTGAGATGTGGCTTCTCCACGCTGCACTTGAACAAATTGTTGGAAGTTGAGCAGTATGAATTCTGGGCATGATTCCGATTTATTGAGTACTTGCATGCTGTGAGTTGTGAGGGAGTAACATAGTTTAAACACTTGTCAGATCACTTTAGTGTCCAATTACTTTAAAACTCAGTCCGTTCTTTGCTGGGGTAGAATTCTTTCCTCCTCAGGCCTCTCCTTCCACAGGAGACTTCTAAATGGGGCCATTTTCTCAGTTTGAAGATTTATTGCTGCGTTTTCTAACTAAAAGTTTTTTAGAAGCGGTGAAGTCTGCTGTCTTCCACAACTCCGTTCTTCTAAAAGGACCTTAGCTGTGATCTTCAAACCACTCTGGTGATATTGTTCCTAAGACTTTTAGGATAATTGCCTGTGTCAAATAATCCTAGAGCTGTATTTTGTGGTTTTATATTTTGATTTTATTCTTTGAACTGCCCTGAGACCTCCAGGTATAGGTCGGTATACTTTTAATAATAATAATAATAATAATAATAATAATAATAATAATAATACAAGCCTGTTATATGCTGTTGCCATTTTGTTACCATCAATGATACTGGTCAGTCAGGAAGGTCACCAGTTCGCATCACAGTTTCGCCACAAATTCAACTGCATGGCTGTAGCAGAGTTGCCACCTCACATTTTGTATACCCTCCAACATTTTTCTGATGAAAATAGGAACATCCTATTACATCATCATCATCATAAGACAAACTTTAATATTTATACCCCACCCATTTGACTGGGTTGCCACTCTGGGTGGCTTCCAACATATATAAAACATAATAAAACATTAAACATTAAAAAACTTCCCTTCAGATGGCTCGGGGGTCGGACACCCCCATACCCCCAACATTTCTCTAATGAAAATAGGGATGTCCTAAGGAAAAGCAGGACATTCTGGGATCAAATCAGAAAACGGAATGGCTTCTGTAAATTGGGGTCGTTCCTGGAAAATAGGGACACTTGGAGGGTCTGCTTTTGTAGGATATTCATGAGTGACCTACCTTACAGAGCTGTCAAATGATTTTTCTGGGCTGGGGTAGGAAGAGAAAGTCCCATTTCCACTCAGCCAGAAGCTTTTGAGGTCATATTGGGCCTCTCTCTCTCTCAGCCAAATCTACTTCACAGATGGGAGGAAGAGAACTTCTGTCTCTGGCCATTTGTATTTTCATATTTTAGAGTGGATGAAAAATCATATTCTATTTCCCTTCAGAATTCTTTTGGTCATATTTGTTTAGAAGCATTTTGTACTTTACTGGTGTACAAATAAATATGTTTACCAGTCCTGAGTTCTCAATCTCTCTCTTTCTCTCTCTCTCTCTCTCTCTCTCTCTCTCTCTCACTCTCTGAAACTCAACTGCAGATAATGGGATTGTACTGAAAGTCATTACAATTTACAACCAGGACACAGAATCTATGGAAGAAGTGATTCTTGAAGAGCTGCAAGTGTTCAAAGTAAGGTATTCTTTTTGGTCTGACTTCATATCCACCAAACCTCAGAGACCGCAGTCCTGCACACGCATGAGGCTACTTAAAGCTCATTGGGGTAAATAAACAAAAAAAATTCCTTCCAGTAGCACCTTAAAGACCAACTAAGTTAGTTCTTGGTATGAGCTTTCGTGTGCATGCACACTTCTTCATCTGAAGAAGTGGTATCTGAAGAAGTGTGCATGCACACGAAAGCTCATACCCAAGAACTAACTTAGTTGGTCTTTAAGGTGCTAATGGAAGGAATTTTTTTTGTTTTGACTATGGCAGACCAACACGGCTACCTATCTGTAACTGGGGTAAATAAGTTTTAAGTACCCTGAATAAGCACAGAATTTCAGCCATAAAGCCTATAAATTAGCCTTTGTATCATCTGCACTGGTAACATTGTACTGGACTGTGTTTCGGTATAAAACTGAAAATCATTTCATCCAAGACATTTTCCCTAGTAGAGTGTATGGAATGTGACTATGAAAACTGCTGAATTTTGCAAGGTTTTGGAGGTATGGGGAAGAATTAGGGAAAGCCAATGCAGCTTCTAGGATTGGCTTTAACAACTGTCCTGGAGATGATGATGGTGGTGGTGGTAATAATAATGTGATGATGATGATGATGATGATGGTGATGGTGATGATGAAAAGGCACACCAAGCTGCAATGTATTGTTGTAATATATGGTTTTGATTACCTGAACTCCAACACAAAACTGCCATGTAAATAGCCAAACACATTTCCTACTTGAGATCATTAGAATTTTGATTCTATGAAAGACACTGGTGGTCTGAGAAAGCTGTCAATGGCACGACCTCCATGTTCCTGTTCCTTCTTTTTCCCCACCAGGTGATAATAATCCCAAGGGCAACCCTCACCACTCCTTTGAATGCTTTGTTGCTCTCCTCTTCTGGTTTTCTTTCTTCAGAAATCCATGCCTCTACACCATGCGTCATAATCCCTGTCTCCCAAACAATGAGATGATGATGTCCAGGTTATTATTATACTTTGCGGAACAGAATGTTCAGCAACATTGGTAGAGCACCTGTAAATAACTCGAGTGCTTTTCATTCTCTGTCAAAATATAGTTACAAATGCATCAGAATTGGTTAATCACTAAAGCAATATATACATTACTGTGATGTCCACTATGTAGGTAAGACGACTGCTGACCTACACACACATTTCAGAAACCAGAAATCTGCCATTTTGTCCAAAAAACAGGGAGCAACCAGTTGCCAAAAACCTCAGTTTTGAGAACCGCAGCCTGTCAGACTTACCAATAACTGCAACAGAGATGCCAACTGATCCTACAATGTAAGCACAGAGGGATAACTTCTGAATGTGCACACTGGACACATTTGACGCCAAGTGGCGAACAGTACCACCATCACTTATCTTTAGCAAATGAAGCCTTTCCATCCTCAAAGCTCTGTAACTGCTGCCTTGGCAACAGCACCCTTTCATTTTTATCAGAGCTGCTGATGAATGCAGAAGCTTCATAAATAGATAAATAATAAACATTTTGTTAATCATTCTATATATCTATCTATCTATCTATCTATCTATCTATCTATCTATCTATCTCAACATCACTCTGTGTGTGTGTTTAATCTACAGAGGTGGTCTGTTTCCTAAATCAAAGAAAATTCTTTACTTTCAGGTGCCAGCTCCTGTTATATCCATGGAGATTTCTTCCAAAAGGGTGAGTGTTGTTCTGTGTATAAGACTACATGACTCAGGACTGTGATCATGTATACCATGTATAAATTAGAATTCCCACTGAGTTTCATACAAAGCAAAATTCAGAGTGAATTTTGAGAGTCATGCTCTGGCGAAATGACTAAAAGAATTTTTGAAGGAAGTGAAAGGACGTTGGAAGCCAAAATAACTTAGATAAGCAAGATTATTATCTTATAGATGTTTCACAGATCTCTATAGCCCCATTCTCATTGAGGAGGCAAACCTGTTGAAGAAAACTGATAAAGATGGAACAAATTACCAGTAAACCGGATGAGTTTACCTGTCAATAGATTGAGGCAACAGTCTGGAAAAGAGCTGGAGAGAAAAGACTCAGAATCCCAGACTAAGGTGCAAGGAGTTGTGTGTGTACTCCTCTCCTCATTGTCTGCATTGCAGTATTAGTTCAATATTCCCTGCTCTGGTCTCATTTTAACACATTAGCAGCCTTTGTGCTGGGCTGGCATGCTCAGGAGCAACCCATGTCTCTACAGGAGTTGAGAATCTCCAAAGTGTGGATGCAGAAGAACCGACAGATAAACACACCGCATTGTTGGGGTACATAAAAAGTTAGGGTCACAATGTTGGCCCACAACACAATGAATAATAATAATAATCCATATTAGGGCAATACCTTTATTAGGCCAACCAAAATGTGCTTAAGGAGGCAATCCTAAATGTAAACATTTTAAAAACCAGCATAATTTCATTAAATAAAATTAGGATCACAGCATCATATTTTTACTGGCATTGATCATTACGGCTGCTGTTGCCGTCTTTCCCCTCACTTCAGAAAGAGGGAGGATGCCTCTGTGTTGATAATAAAATGTCATCGCTACCGTGGTGTGACTTAATATGCCATCTAAAATGAGTTTCCATGGAGTGATGCTGGAATTTTGAATATCAACACTTTCTCATGCACTGTTTCCCTATGAAATATTCAGATGTATCCCCCCCCGCCCCCACTTGTCTTAAGCTGTTTTAAATGTTGTGTCCCACATCGGCTGCAAAGTAAGCAAGCAGCCATCCTGATTCATGAGAGAAATGGGAACTTGATGAAAATGCACTGGCTGATAAATGTAGCACGGCTCACTGAAGAAACCTGAGGGTTTAAGTGTTTTAAGGCAAAATAGTCAGACTCTGTAGTCTATCTACCTTAATATATATATCATGGCATCGTATCAAAGCATTTCCGTGGTTCCAGCACACTCTAGCGTGGCCACAAAATGGAAATCTCTCTGGGGAGTTCTGAAGATGATATGCTGATGTGCAGGTGACCAAGATGAGCTTAGGCAAGACACCATTCTGTCAGCCTGAACTGCCCCACCCTGCCCTAGAGAGAGGCCAAAGCCAGCTCCTGAATTAGGGAAACACAGTAACCAGACCCTCCAAGTGCCCCTATTTTCCAGGGACAGTCCCGGATTTACAGAAGCCATCCTGGCTTCTGATTTGATCCCAGAATGTCCTGCCTTTCCTTAGAAATGTTGGAGGGTATGCAGTCACTGTATTGCCTCTTCCCTCTTGTTTCCCTACACCAAAGCTAAGTTACACTTTGAGGGTGTCGTTGCTCCTTCAAGGAGAACAGATCCCCTAAATAGGCTTTGTTTCTTGGTCCTTTTCCACCAAGCTATAGAACTCTGGGGACTGGCTGTTATGGCTCAACAGAAGGAGCCTTCCAACATTCTCCTAATATTGGTGCTTTCCTTACAGCAACAAATTTATGTTGGGTCTGAGTCCGCCGTTGCACAACTGAAGTTCCACCAGTGTGACATGTATGGAACAGCCTGCGCTGACTGCTGCCTCGCAAGGGATCCTTACTGTGCTTGGGATGGGATCTCTTGTTCCAGATACTACCCAACAGGAACACAGGCAAAGAGGTGGGACTCCTTTCTTGCATGCAAATTCGCATTCTGCAAAAGGTTCTCCAAACCAGGCTGAGATGGTTCCATTTCTTCCAGAATTAGGAAGTGCCTTTGACAGTTCTCTCTCTTGTTGAAGGTCTTCTAGCAGAGTTTGGGCAGCCATCCATTAAAAAATACACCAGCTCTGGATTCCCAGCATCAAGCAAGGGGTCAGAGTAGTTGCCCTACAAGGTCCCTCTGGTACTATGACTCTGAAATTTACCCCCATCACCCTGTCTGCACTATAGATTTAAAGCAGAATCGTACCACTTTAAACAGCCATGGCTTCCTTACAATTCTCATAGTTGTGGTTCAAGGACCCGACCCCCGCGAAGTAAAATGAAGACACAGGGACACGTGATATAAGGTTAATGGGCTGGAAAAAGGCCACAACTTTATTGATTACAGCAATGAAAAGGTATTGGCTTAGGCATTGGATCGCGAAACAAGTGGGTTTATTCACCAGGGAGTCAACACCTGTTGATGCTAATCCAACTATAGGCTCTCCCCTGATGTCACCGAGGGTCGTGCCATGGCCTCCCGCCAAGCAGGCTTCGGACGGAATACACGACCGCCAGATTCCTTTAACGGAATACCCCTAGAAATTGAAGGCATAGGCGATGGCCACACCTAGCACTTCGACACACCACAACACATTATTCCAATGCCTAACCTACCCACCAATACCACCAAAAAGTTGTGACGATTGCTACGAGGTAGGCGAAAAAACCAAAAAGCCTAATGCCAAATGGAAAAACTCCTACCAGGCCCCCCGGGCAACCGGGGCGACCAACCTAAGGTCCATAGCAAGGCCAATGACCTAAGCCCTAACTAAAAGGGAGTGGAGGGTGGGTGACTCGCACAGGACGACAAAGAGAAATGAGGCCGGGGAGAGGCTGGCACTGCAGCATAAAGGCTGCTGGACACGCCCCCCCCCATGGCACCTGGTTGGACGGCCTCCAGGGGGGCGTGAGCGCCAGCCAGGTGAGCTGGAGGCAGGGGGCAATGCCCCCTGCTAGGAGCGGTGTTCGGGCTCCCGTCCACAACCACTCCCCTCTCTTTCAGGGAGGAGAGTCTTTGCCTGGGAAGAGGGACCGGCTGTAAAAACACTCTGAGAACTGCAGCCCTGTGAAGGAAGTAGGGGTTTCCTAGCAACTCTCAGCACCCGTAACAAACTACAGTTCCCAGGATTCTTTGGGATAAGCCATTGCTGCTTACAATGGTATGATACTGCTTTAAATTTATAGTGCAGGTGGGGCTTTATTGTACAAGGAAACTGAATTAACTCATTGTAGGCAGTTGTTTTTTATATGCCTGTTGTCTTTGTCCATGGAGTTTTCTTGGCAAGGATACTGGAGTGGCTTGCCGGTTCCTCCTCCAGGTGGATCACGTTTGGTCGAAACTCTCCACTATGACCTGTTCATCTTGTGTGCCCTGCTCGGCGTAGTTCATAGCTTCTCTGAGTTCTTCAAGCCCCTTCGCCATGGCAAGGCAGTGATCCATGAAGGATCACTGACAGCAGCCACGAAATTAAAAGACGCCTCCTTCTTGGGAGAAGGGCAATGACAGGCCTAGACAGCATCTTGAGAAGTAGAGACGTCACCTTGCCAACAAAGGTCCGTATAGTTAAAGCCATGGTTTTCCCAGTAGTGATGTATGGAAGTGAGAGCTGGACCATCAAGAAGGCTGATCGCCGAAGAATTGATGCTTTTGAATTATGGTGCTGGAGAAGACTCTTGAGAGTCCCATGGACTGCAAGAAGATCAAACGCATCCATTCTTAAGGAAATCAGCCCTGAGTGCTCACTGGAAGGACAGATCGTGAAGCTGAGGCTCCAGTACTTTGGCCACCTCATGAGAAGAGAAGACTCCCTGGAGAAGACACTGATGCTGGGAAAGATGGCGGGCACAAGGAGAAGGGGGCGACGGAGGACGAGATGGTTGGATAGTGTTTTCGAGGTTACCAGCATGAGTCTGACCAAACTGCGGGAAGTAGTGGAGGACAGAGGTGCCTGGCGTGCTCTGGTCCATGGGGTCACGAAGAGTCGGACACGACTAAACGACTAAACAACAACAACAACAGGCAGTTGTTTATTAGCATAGTGTTTGGAGATGTAAATTAATTTATCAGTGTACAGTGATGTACAGAAAGATATTTGATTTTGATTGTTTTTCTACAGTCAGATGCCCTGTACTTCTTTTCACTTGTTTTTAGAACGTATTTCAGGAGATACAATATAGTGAATAATAAATGTTTAAAGGGTGAGAAAAAAAGAAAGAAAGAAAGAAAGAAAGAAAGAAAGAGCACAACAATGTACATTGATTCGTTTCAACAGTTTCAGGCAATGAACCATGAGGTACGTCTGGCTGTAGAAGAAAGAAACTTACAATCAGATATTCTTCATGGATTGGGAGCAGACATATTAGGAAGCGACTGCTCAGAGCAGATTCAGAGAAAGAGTCAATTAAGGATGTGTGAAGCACCTCTTATGGGTTTCCCTAAAATACTAGACATTTTCCTTCCAGACCCTAGAAGAGCATTTTCAGTTAAAGGACCTCAAGATGACACAAACATATGAATTTCCCACAGGAATTGGGGAAGGTTTCTGAGGGCTGTTCACAAGTTGTATTTTTTTCAAACTGTTTTTTTTTTATTTTTTTACTTTTCCCTAGACGTTTCCGCAGACAAGATGTCCGTCATGGAAATGCAGCTCAGCAGTGCTTTGGCCAGCAATTTCTTGGTAATTCTCATGCTGTGCGTTAGAATGCTTTAGTGAGTCAGCGCATCAGGGATGGACGACCTGTGGCTCTCTAGAGGCTGTTAGACTCCAACTCCCATTGGCACAGTTAGCATGGCCAATGGCCAGGGACAAAGGGATTTGTTGTTCAGAAACAGCATGGGGACCACAGATTCAGCATGGGGACCACAGACCACAGAAATAGCTTTTGTGCACGCGTAGGAGGGCCCTGCGCATGCGCACAAGCTATTTCCTGTGCTCCTCCGACCCATATGTGGGTCCCTGGTAAGAGCGGGCAGTGGCAGGGGGCAGGAGGGCAGTGGTCGCCACGGACCAGATAAACGAGGGTCTCGGGCCTTATCCGGCCCCCGGGCCGGACGTTGGTGGCCCCTGCACTAAGCCAAATCATTGCTTAGTTCAGCACTGCACACCAAGAAAGGAACTGGGGAGCAGCATAACAGCTGCAATCTCCTCTCCAGAATCACTTTTACTCATTCTCAGTAAGCCAAATTTTGGCTTAGCGTTCAGTGCAAATGAGAGACAAATGAACTCATTAGTTCTTCCTAACTTGGCCTGGCAATAAATCCTTCCAGGTCAAGCCTAACAGGTGCCTGCCGCTCTGTTTAAGAATCTCTACCTGCCTAGTCTCCCTAAGCAACTGCTGCCCTCTCTAGCTGCCAGTTTTCACATCTGTCTGTTGGGTCAGCTTTGCTATCAGTTGTCCTCTATGTAGCAGCCATCTTCTACTGGACTTGGCCCTTGCCTCCGATGGTTCTGCCTCTGTTAATCTTGAGTACTAGGACCTAACATGAAGTTTCCAAAGAGAATTTGCAATGAAGCAGCTAAAAATCTGGAGAGAAACAAATGCTACCAGGAGCCAGAAGCATAATGCATTCATATCCTTGAACCTGCCTAGAACTCTCAATTACCGATCTCTTTAATTCCTTTCCCAAGTGCACCATTTAGATAGCAGGCATCATTTTGTGGACTGGACCCAAAGAGCTTGACCCTCCCTTCTCCTGCTAAATACCTTGCCAGAGAAAGCTTTGATGGAATCGTGACTCCATGTAGGGCAGATTAGAATCTGGAAGGGAAATATTTCACAACGCAAATATTTTTCAGATTTGTCTGGTGATGTGAGGAAATTCCATACTGTTTAGGGTTTTGATGCAATTCTCTGAAGAGTTTGCTGCTGAACAGAATATATAGCACACTGTCATATTTAACTGTAAAAAAAACCCCATGCATTGGAATTTTAGATAGGGTTGTAAGATACTCAAGAGACCTTCAGATTAGAATGTGGCAGATTCACAATTCTAAGAAAAACTGAAGTTTTTATCATGGAAGAAAGGCAGATTATAAAATGGAGACAAAAGACATTGCTTTGGCCTCCTATGCACCATTGAGTGCAAGAAGCACCATTGAGTGGGCATTCATGGTTCTGGCACTAAATGCAGCCTACAGGAGGACTGTTTCCACAAAGAGCCTTCTATTCAGCATGGCATGTGTTTTGCAAAGGGCTGCAAGTTCTCTTGGCAAGTTTATGCAATTTATAAAGATCAGCAGGTGACTAATTTCTGGCCTCAGGACAACAAAATCATTTGCTCAGTGGCAGCCACTGAAGACTTGATCCCACCAAGTTGTTAAGCGGTGGCCCATTCAGACTTAATTTAACTCCTGAATGTGAAAGCAAGAAGTCCAGTTTACAAGCATTTAGCTGGATCAAGGGGTATGAGTATAGACTACTGATGAATCTCTGTTCTACTAGATAGAGCATCTCCTTTCATGGGAAATGGGGAAAAAATGATAATAACCTTTCCCCCTTTTGACAGAAGTGGATGAAATTTGCATGCCTGGCCTGGCCCCGCTGCCCTGTTGATGCAAGTGTTGTGCTTTATTTCAATCTGGTATTGTAGCTCTGTGGAGCACTTTGAGGGGCTAAAAGCAAAAGCCAGTACTGCTAGGCATGCACATTCTGCAAAATCATGTAACTCAGACACAGAACCACTCGTTTCCTTCAGGAAAGAGGCAGTGCCATTCACGTCACACAGACATATGCAATGCTTATATAAAAAACATATTATCTAAAGTAGCCCTTTGGCAGACACTGCTTTGTTAGCACTTTTAATAAAAGATTATCAGCAGAGGCTGCTTCTAATCGGAAAGCCATTTGCAAACATTTTCTTTAAAACAAAAGGTCACTTTCTATGATCTTGGGAACCAGTACAATCATAAATTTATCAAGGAAGGCGTACATTGATAAATCCTCAATTGCCACCAGTCGTTATAATGGAAGTTATTTGTTATTTTGTGTTTGAAAAGTGAAGCCTACTTTTTTTCCTAGAAGTCTGGAGGGGGCTCAGTGTGACGGCCAGGGCCAGTCCTATCATGTGCCACCCTGAGCCACCTGCCTCAGACGGGAGATTGGGAGAGACAGCAGACAGAGTGCCTCTTGCTGCCTGCCCAGGCCCCTGCAGGTCTCCCAGAAAGAGTGGGTGCCCTTGCCAGGCACCGCCATGCCCCTTGAGCTTCCATTGCTAGCAGCTGCCTGACCAGGAGTTTTGGTGAAGCCTCACAAGAGCTGAGGCCCTTTCTCTCTGCTGCCAGCAGTGGGCAGCAGCTGTCAACCCAGTGGGATGCGGTGGTGCCCATCTTTATCATCTCAGATGGCAAAATGGCTTGGGCTGGCCTGGGGGAAGACAAATGGTTGTGAAGGACCATACCAGGTTTTTGTGTGTGTTTTCCTTCTTTATAGGAGACATCCTGGATAAGACCGAAGAGCGACTGGTATACGGAATAGAATACAACAGCACTCTCCTTGAATGTATACCAAGGACCTTGCAGGCCAAAGTGATCTGGTTTGTACAGAGAGCACACGAAGCACGGAAGGAAGAGGTACTTTCTCACTGAATGGAAGGGGGTAACCTCTCTTGCACGGGCCCCCTCGTCTACTTCACATCCTCCAGTATTAATGGCATTTTGCAGCCATCATCATATCTTTATCATCACAATATTGTGCAATATTGTGAAACACTCTGTTGTGCTTACTGCAGCCAGTGTGGTGTAGTGGTTAAGAGCAGTGGACCCGTAATCTGGTGAACCGGGTTCGATTCCCCGCTACTCCACATGCAGCTGCTGGGTGACCTTGGGCCAGTCCCACTTCTTTGAAGTCTCTCAGCCCCACTCACCTCACAGAGTGTTTGTTGCGGGGGAGGAAGGGAAAGGAGATTGTTAGCCGCTTTGAGACTCCTTCGGGTAGTGATAAAGCGGGATATCAAATCCAAACTCTTCTTCTTCTTCTTTTTAAATTAAAAGGAAAGGTTGCTCTGTAAATATTTATGCTGCCTTTAAATAACCAGTTTATTTCGATTGTGGGGAAGGGTACTTGGGAATGATGCAATTTTCTTTTATATGCAATCCCTCCTCTGTGGACCAGTTCACACATGACATGCGCATCATGGTCAGAGGAGCAGGCCATAAGCTTGTGCACTCTTCCTAGAGTCGAGCCTGTAATCCACCAGGAAAACCCAAGATCTGCATCTCACCCATTCATGCTGTGTTATCAAGCACCTCTTGCAGTTTTTATAAATAATATTTCTTTATAGATAATTATTCTGACACATGGATCCCCCACGAGCACATCAACTTCCACCCCAAATATCATTGATTTCCGTTAAAGAGTTGATCTCTCTTATTAAAATGAGTGGTACCTTAAGGTGATTAGTTTTTGACTGCATCGAACCCAAAGATGTTTGAAATGAACACACACAAATTATGCTTCCGTTTGCTCCAACTTCTGCACTCAAGTTGCTCCTGATAAGCTTCCCAAACCCTTCCCAGAAATCCAATGAAATTCCACGATTCTGTTATCCTGCCGTAGTGTTTCTAATTCCCCTTATACTTTTTTACCTCTTTTCTCCTGGTTATTATTATATTATTTTAAAAACCACACCCATGTGATATTACAGTATTGCTTTATTTCCACTGAATAACACCATTTCCTTGTTGCCCACCCTCAGGTGAAGACTGACGAAAGGGTACTCCAAGTGGACTTTGGCCTCTTGTTCTTAAGGCTGCACAGGATGGACGCCGGGACGTATTTCTGCCAGACAGTGGAGCACAGCATTGTCCACACAGTAAGAAAAATCACACTAGAGGTTGTGGAAGAAGAGCGTGTGGACGACATGTTCAACAAAGACTATGAGGAGGAGGCATCGCATAAGATGCCCTGCCCGGCTCAGAGCAGCATAGCCCAGGGCTCAAGGCCTTGGTACAAGGAGTTCCTGCAGCTAATAGGCTACAGCAACTTCCAGAGAGTGGAGGAGTATTGTGAGAAAGTGTGGTGCACGGACAAGAAGAGGAAAAAGCTGAAGATGTCTCCATCCAAGTGGAAGTATGCCAATCCGCAAGAGAAGAAGGCACGCATCAAACCTGACCATTACCGTGTTCCCAGGCACACTGCTGACTCTTGATGGGAAAAAGAAATCCCACGGATTCAAGGAAGCTTCTTTCTTTCTTTCTTTCTTTTGGACCTAAGGAAAGGGAAATCCTTCTTGGATTTAGTGACGAATACAGGTTTATATATAAATGAAACGTTGAGACTGGAAATGGGGGGGAAATGTGGTTTTAGTAAGTTATACACTTCATGTCTGTTTAGATGCATTTTTTAAAAAGCAAATCTGCTTAATTCTTTGGTCTGCTTATATCATTCCACAATGAGTTTTCCATTTAAGGACAATCTGACAATCATCATATTCAACATTTAGTCCAATTAATCAAGCATGGACCATGTTTGTACTGTATATTCTAGTGTGTTGTTGGGGATATTTAAGTGAACACAAATGCTAAAGCATCACAAAGCAACAATGTATGGTTTCGTTTTGATTTCACAAACATCTTGCTAATTTTCGACGTGGCATATATCCTGTGTCCCGCGGGTTCCAGTTTTCATTTCTGAAGAGCAGTTTCTAGGGCTCATTGCTGCTGAAATCCATTTTGAGTATGTGACAGTAGCCACGGCTGTGAACAGAAATGATGAAGGGTCATAAATAAAAGGACTAAAAACAAATAAAGGGGGGGGACTGAGTACAAGCAATGATTGTATCTCATTGAAAGCAATGGAATTGGTTGTGGCTAACTCAAATCCCACTTGATGCCAAGGGCAGTTCATCATGACTAATTGTAGCTGTGCCCCAAATATCACTGTTCAATTTCTGTGCCCCGTTTACCAATAATTCTGAAGGCTGACTCCAGTGTCCTCTTTTGGGGAGAATAACTTAACCAGGAAGAATCGTCTTTCTAGGACAAAGGGCCACCGCTCAGAGGTGCAGCTCCTGCTTTGCACACAGAAGGTCCCCGGTTTGATCTCCAGGGAGGGTTGGAAGAGAGACTCCCTCTCTGAAATCCTAGAGAGTTGCTGTCAATCAGTGTGAAGAGTACTGATCTGGATGGACCAAGGCTTCTTAGGATCCAGGTGCTGTGTGCCCAGCACGTACAATTTGGAATTTTCCAAATTTACTAAAATTACATTCAGATTTAACACAAGAGTCCATTTCCTCCACCCCTTGCCTCCTTCACGCTTGTTACCACAAAGGATTTGCTTGCCATAATCTGCCTCCCATCAGTACAGGGCTTGCATCTTTTTTCTGCAGGCGGCTCAGCCTGGATCACACTTAGGCGCATAAGATGCGGCACAAATACAATCAGGTTCGTTTTGGCACTCCACCTCACACTAATGCATTTTCTTAATTTGGAAATGATGAACAGGGTGCCCATCCCTGGTTCTAAGAGCCATCAATATTGTTAAAAGCCTGAAGAAAATTGCTACTTATTCCTACATTTGACTGATTGGTTCCATTTGCATCTGAACCGCAGCCAAGTAGTACCATTTGATTATGCCAGATGTTTTCTCTCTCTCTCTCTGGGAGGTCGGTATAACCACCTACCAAAGGAGCAAAGCATCCTCTCTCAAAAGCTAATGCGATCTCCCTCTTGTGGCAATGAAACAGCATTTCATTCTGCTCTGTGCAGTATATAGATTCTAAATTTCAATATGAAGCAAAAGGTTATTAGCACTGCTGGAAAACTATAGAAAGGTTCTTATTCTCTATTTTCTTTTTCTTTTTCGGCAATTTCCAGTTGACACTCCAAAACTATATGTTCACATTGTTTCAGATGTTCTTGATGTCATTTTCTTTCCCCAATCGGTTTTGCCCTCACCACTCGGCTTTCATTTGCCCCAACTGCTGTTTAAACTTGCAGTATCCTTTCCTCCAAGGTAACTCCAGGATAATTAGTCCTTTTAAGTCCACTAGTGCTCTAAATTAATCTTCTGATTCATACACCAAGACAGTCCTGAGCAGGCACATTTTGCCGATGGGTACAGTAGATGCCAACGGGGTGAGCTCCCGTTGCTCGGTCCCAGCTCCTGCCAACCTAGCAGTTTGAAAGCACGTCAAAGTGCAAGTAGATAAATAGATACGACTCCAGCGGGAAGGTAAACAGCGTTTTCGTGCGCTGCTCTGGTTCACCAGAAGTGGCTTAGTCATGCTGGCCACATGACCCGGAAGCTGTATGCCGGCTCCCTCGGCCAATAAAGCGAGATGAGCACCGCAACCCCAGAGTCAGCCACGACTGGACCTAATGGTCAGGGGTACCTTTACCTTTACCTTTACAGTAGATGCAGGCTGAAAGCTGTACCTTGGCATGGGGGCTTGGCTAATAAATGGAGTCCCACTGCAAGATTCGTCTTTCTAAGGCTGCATTCCAAATGTTGAGTCTCCTTCCAGCCGGTCCAAAACAGCTGCTCTGACCTTCATTGCTGGAGTGGTGTCCCTCCTCTCATGCAGGCCTCAACATCCTCCCTATGGAAAGTGCAGGCAGGTGGAAGTGTGGGTGGTAGTCCACAGAAAGATACCCCCCCTCCCCCAGTGGATCATTCCCATTGCAGGGAGGGACTGAGCCGGGATTCCTTTGCCCATTTTACAGAAGACCAATTTTGACAATCCTGCCAGGTGTTCCGTAAGATTGGCTCTGGTGTCGTTGGCTCACCGCTACAGCCACGAGGCTGGCCACCTGGCGTGGAGCAGGCATTATGGCGAAAGATCTAGGCGAGCAACATCTCTGCTCCTTTGAGAGAGACTCGCCCGATGGACTAACAGGCTGTGTGGAATAAAAAGAGTCTGCCAATGTGGGTTTTGCCAATTAAGACACTTTTACTGAAATAAAATGGAAGTCCATGTAGATGTTGAATACCATTCCTGTCTAATACCTGCCTCTCTCTGTTATAGGCTAATTAAATGTGAAGTAAATGGTCAGAATTCTCCATTTCCTTTTATTGTGCGTGGACTCGTCATGAAACCCACGGACTGACATTCTGTTCGGATAATAGGCTAACACACACTGTTGCACATCCTCCAATAAATTTTCATCCAACTGGACATGTTGAGGAAAGTGTCCTCAACATGAGGGTGATCTCCCCCCGCCCCAGAAGACAAAGAGTATTCCCCCCCCCTCATTTTTCTGGAAAAGAAAGCCACTTGGTATATTTTTCTCTGAATAATTGCTATCTTTTTATTTTATTTTTTTGTAGTGGCCATTTGACACCAGCTGTGGGGCATTATGGGGATGCAAGATGGCAGCTCGTTTGCCAGCACATTTTCTACTGCTGCCACTTGCACACTAATGGGGGGGATCTGGGGGGAAAGGAGCTGTACTACAGTGGTACCTCAAGTTACAAACACCTCAGGTTACAAACGCTTCAGGCTACAAACTCCGCTAACCTGGAAGAGTTACCTCGAGTTGAGAACTTTGCCCCAGGATGATAACAGAAATTGTGTGCCGGCGGCGCAGTGGCAGCAAGAGGCCCCATTAGTGAAAGCACTCCTCTCATTAAGAACAGTTTCAGGTTAAGAATGGACCTCCGGAACGAATTAAGTTTGTAACTAGAGGTACCATTGTATTGCCATTGCTAAATGATGAGCCTCACTCCCCAACTGCCAAGTGCTCCTCTGTGTGCAGTTGCACTTTAGGGAGGACAAGACAGAGATGGGCCAGTCCTTTAGCCTTCCATGTACCAGGAGGATTTGCTATCTTTAAGCTGCTTATTCCCAAGGGATGCGGGTGGCACTGTGGGTTAAACCAAAGAGCCTAGGACTTGCCGATCAGAAGGTTGGCGGTTCAAATCCCCGCGACGGGGTGAGCTCCCATTGCTCAGTCCCTGTTCCTGCCAACCTAGCAATTCGAAAGCACGTCAAAGTGCAAGTAGATAAATAGGTACCGCTCCAGCAGGAAGGTAAACAGCGTTTCCGTGCACTGCTCTGGCTCGCCAGAAGCGGCTTAGTCATGCTGGCCACATGACCCGGAAGCTGTACGCCGGCTCCCTCGGCCAATAAAGTGAGATGAGCGCCACAACCCCAGAGTCGTTCACGACTGGACCTAATGGTCAGGGGTCCCTTTACCTTTACCTTTACTATTCCCAAATTAGTTTTCTGAAAAATGCAAGACAATGCTTTCAGTTTCCAGTTATTTTTCAAGTGTTATAATAAAACCAATTGAACAACTTGGCAAACCCTTTCTGTACTCTGAAGCTCTTCCTTTCTTATTATTGTTCTTCATCCCATCGCTGGAGGCATTTCCAAAAATCATAAAAGAAAACAACACAATCCTTAAAAACAAAAACGAACAAACACCTAAATAGTCAATGAATCAAGTGTAGAAAATAGCACAAGCAACTCACCCAGCGAGGTGCAGCTACAGGAACACCACCACTGCAGCATCCCTGCTACCTACCAGGAGGAGAAGGGGATTCTGAGGCTGGGGCTGCATGGGCTGAGACGGGTGATGGCCAGGGGACTGTGTGGGGACACTGATGGAGCCAATCTGGTGGTCTCACTGCTACACCCTTGTGCAAATTAATTGAAACAAAGCATGTTTTCTATCTTACTCGTAATCCTGTACTCAAAGCAAACACGAAAAGTCAGTTGATCATTATGGTGTTGGAAGCCTGCAGCCAATAGAAGGAATGATGCGCTCGCCACAATATATTGAGAGTTATTCCAGAGTTATTCCAGAGCTGGAAAAGAGGTATCCTGATGGCGGTACTGGGATATTGCATCAGGACCTAGCCCCCTGTCACACATCGAAAGTGGTGAAGAAATTCATGACAAAGCAGCAAATACAGGTACTTGATTAGCCAGGGAATTCCCCAGACGTAAATCCCATTGAGAATTTGTGGGCTATAGGCAAAAGTCGCCTCCGTGCTGTAGACTGTATGACTATGGAGAAACTCATTCAGGCGCTGATTCAAGTGTGGTACAGGGATCCGAAAATCAACAGTGACTGTTCAAAACTAGTAGACTCCATGCCAAACCGTGTTCAAATGCTGCTTAAAAATAGCAGAAGTCATATCCATTACTAATGTACGTATATGTGAGTTTTGTACAATAAACTACATTGTTTGTTTCAATTAATTTGCACAAGGGTGTGTGTCCACTCAGTCCCAGTGATGCTTCCAGGAGGCTGTGACTGCAGCTCTGCTCCACCAGGCAAGTTGCACCTGATAACAGTGGAAACAATAGGTAAAAGCAACTTCCTTCTTCAGCTGCCTAATGCCTGCCAGAAAAGTTCTAGCACAAAGACCTTTCCATTTCCACCGATTACCCTAGAGCAACAGAAGAGTCAGGAAGACACACGTTAAGTTCCTGCTTTGCAGAAGCATCTTGCCCTCCAGGCTTGTGCTCTGCAGTTCATCACTCTGTCAGCCACTGTCGCTGTATGAATTCCTGCAAAAGTTCAGGCTGTTTGTGCTCTGTATTGATGCAGAAGTGCAACTGCACACCACAAAATGGACCAGACCAGAACTGCAGACCAGAAAAAGGTTATGTTTCTCCCGTGACACCACCAGTCCTTCCACCACAATGGATTATTTCTCAAGGTGCTTGAAGGATTAGATCTCTGAAAATGAAAAGACCAGACTAATGAGTGGATTAGACCAGGGGTCAGCAACCTTTTTCAGCTGTGGGCCGGTCCACCGTCCCTCAGAGCATGTGGTGGGCCGGACTATATGGCGGGGGGGATGAACAAATTCCTGTGCCCCATAAATAACTGAGAGGTGCATTTTAAATAAAAGCACACATTCTACTCATGTAAAAACACCAGGCAGGCCCCACAAATAACCTAGAGATGCATTTTAAATAAAAGGACACTTTCTACTCATGTAAAAACATGCTGATTCCCAGACCATCCGCGGGCCGGATTGAGAAGGCGATTGGGCCGCATCTGGCCCACGGGCCTTGGGTTGCCTACTCCTGGATTAGACCTTAGCTATCCAACTGGACTTAACTGTCCAACGAATTAAGTTGTCCAAGCAAATACACTTCAAATAATGCTGTAAGAGTGCTCTCTTCCTCTTCCTCTTCCTCTTCCTCTTCCTCTTCCTCTTCCTCTTCCTCTCCCTCTCATGTGTTGCATGAATTCAATTTAGTAACAAACAAGAAAGAAGGCAATAACGTTTCTGCAATTTGCAGCCAAGTTTTAGAAAACTAACATCTAACTTACTGAAACATGTCATTAAATATATATATATATATATTACCTGTCTCCTGAATGCTAAGCAACAGGTCTGGTGCAGCATAATTTTTACTGATGCAAAAAATAAAATTAAAACCCCCAAAAGACACAACACTGGATGGAGCATAAAGATTGAAAAGGAAGGGGAAAGGAATTATAAGAGTGGCAGTTCAAGATGGGAAGGGGGAAAGGCAAAGGGATGTTGGGAACCTGAAGAGATTTGTTTCCTTATCTAGTTCCTAAATTGCTCTGCTTAGTAAGGATGAAGCCTATACCTTTATCAGTCGCCCAGCAGAGCCACAAAAAAGAGAAGGGAGGTAGCTTGTGAAACTGAGGCAAATCACTCAGGTCTTATCAGAGTAATGCAGTGAAGACTCATGTTTGGAAGCAAAGACAGGAATTGTAGTGGAGAAATGCAGCTTAGGCATTTTTGGATGCTTCATTTTAGAGAAGAAGCAATTCCTTGGTCACAAGTACACTCAGGACCCAGATACATTAGTAAAAAAAACCCAACAGTGTTTTGAATGCATTATAAACATTCAACACCAGATGGTGCTAGAGAGCAAAAAAAATTATAGGAGATTTTCAATAGCATTTTTTTTCCTTTTGTTATAACTATTTAATTTCTGACTTATTCATAGCATGTTTTTTCCTGTGTGTAGATCAGGCATAAGCAAACTTGGCCCTCCAGATGTTTTGGGACCACAACTCCCATCATCCCCTAGCTTACAGGACCAGTGGTCAGGGATGATGGGAATTGTAGTCTCAAAACACCTGGAGGGCCGAGTTTGACTATGTCTGATGTAGATCGACCCATAGAAAAGGCCTGTTCCCCCTAGAACTACAAGCACAACCAGCTCAAGACAGTCTGGGAACTGAATGAAACAAGATGGTGCGTGCATACACACACAC